TCGCCCATTCACTTGAATGGGGTGACGTAGAAGATTTTTAATCTTCGCCGAACTGCATTGTGGGGAGCATGGCATGGCTTTGCAAGCATCACGAGCATCTATCGGCATCAAAATTGAACAATGTTCAACTTTTGAGGCTCGATGCTTGGCATCAGCCAATCAAATCCCGTTTATGCAAATCCCGCCAGTGCAAGCGCAGCCAATCAAACCGCGTGCAAGCTGGGAGAGCCAGACCGCTGTTCATTTCCTCATATTCCAAACGAGAAATTACGGTAGAAAATCACCCGGTTCTTTACGACCAGAACTATTTACCGGGATACAAACCGGAGGAACCAGGCATGGAGGGAGGTGGCAGAGACAGTGGGTGAAACCGGTAGGTTTTCGCCTGTTTGGAGAGTTTATATCCAGTTTACTTTGTTTTAACATTGCTATTGCTTTGTATGTCAGGGGCGGGAGATTCATGTGATTGGTTGTTGTTCGCGTTGCTAGCAAAAAATCGGCAAGCTTCAGACACGCCCAGCTTCAAGATTTTTTGATGCCTGTAGTGTAGACGGGCCGTAAGAGCGTTAAAAATACATCTTCCCAATACATGACCCAAAGTACAATTTCCAACTAAAATCCTTTGGAGTGGAATCTATTCTCATGGAACTCTCGGTAAGAAAATGGATTTCCCATATTGTTGAACCTCCTCCTTAAAGCGCTGCATATCGTATCCATGCTGGGCTGCATCAGAGGAAGTGGTACGGAGGATTTATGCAGTTTCTCTCACCTTCATGGCGTTGAGGAGCTCTGGGTCTTTCAGCAGATCACCGAGACCGGGCATGCCGGCGGGGGCTCCACCGGGGAATCCACCGGGGGCTCCACCGGGGGCTCCGCCGGGGGCTCCACCAGGGAATCCGCCGGGGAAACCACCGGGGAAACCGCCGGGGAATCCTCCGGGGAATCCACCGGGGGCTCCACCGGGGAATCCTGATGGAAACCCAGCAGCGCCTGTTTTAAAAACAACCAGGATCATCAATCAGCCACAATACATCAATACATCCCAACTAAACAGAGAGACACGGAGCATTTCTGCAGTTTGGAGATGTAAACATTAAAACTGTGGATACAAAAAAAATTATATATATCATCCTGTAATTCTCGAGACACAATTCCTCAAATAACACGTTCACTGTTTTGGTTTCCAATTATCATATCGTAATTCCAAAATCCATTCAAAAACAATCGCAATTAGTTATGTTTTCAAATTGTGCAGCTTTAATAAGAGTATCAAATCATTTCCACAGGGTATTCTCCTTTGATTGGCTTCTCGTATGAGGACAAGTGTTTCTGCTCTCCTACCTGGGAAGAATCCTCCTCCGGCCTGTCGTGCTTCTTCCTCCTGTTGGAAACAAAGGGATAGGATGAATCAGGAGTTTCTTCTGTTAATGGATTTCTTCAAAAGCCTCACATCGCTGGTCTGAAAAAGGAAACCTCCATCCCACTCACCCTCTGAGCCCGTGCATGCTCCTCTCTGGCCATCTTTATCCGCTCTTGCTTGTCTTTGACCTCCTTCTCCTCTCTTTTACGCTCGTATTTGCGTTTGTGCTCCATGATTTTCTTAGCCTGAATAGAAAAAACAAGGAGAGATGACGATGAAGATGAAGCACAAACTCACATTCTGCCATTAGGAGCTTCACAAATATGGATCGACTCCTCTACATTAAAGATCTCCCATCATGCTATGTTTAGGCTTATATTATGAGTCTCAGATATACGAATATATAAAAACATATCGATTAAGTGTTTTGATGAAAAACACCAAACAGATCATGCATTTTAGAAAACGGCTGATTCTCTGCAAAGACCATATTACGTCCAAAACAGTCGGGCATTGTTTCTGATATCAACTTTCTGATCCACATTTCAGATATTACGTCATATCGGAGGCAAATCTGGATCAGCTCCGTTGTAGCCCCGTTTTTAGAGATGTGGGTACGGAGGAAAAGAGAGAGGGTTTTATTTTCTGACGCTGCGTGAGTTCCCTAACACACCGGGGACACATAGTTATGTAAAAAAGACATCAAAAAGTGCATTCGGCATGATAGGAGACCTTTAAAAAAAGAAACATATTTGCATTACAGTCACTGTGAAAAAAAGGCTTGTTTCCCTCCTTTATACCTTGGGCTGGACCTCCTTCAGCAAAGCACTGGCGTCGTCGTCATAGTCCAGTTTACAGGCTGTAGCCAGATCCCGGGCGGCCTCCTCCCAGTGGCCCAGCAGCCTGCAGCACACACACACACACACACACACACACGATAAGCAAGCAGGTATGATACCATCAGATCATAAGCTCAGCTGAGATTGAAACAAGATTAGGTGTGTCGTGTTTACACTGAGTGTTTGGTTATGTCACGTGTGCGTAAAGTCAGGAATGTACCTGTGAGCTTTTCCCCTCCACTTGTAGGGCTGTGCAGAGTCTGGGTTGATGCTGATGGCTCTGTCACAGTCCCTGATGGCTGCGTTGGGTTTCTCCATCTGGATGAACACACTGACAGAGAGGGCGACTGGTTACACTCACTATCATTTATAGAAGGATTAGTCATCAAGCAAAGAGAGCATGGAGGATTCTCACCTGGCCCTCTTGGCGTACATGATGGCTACGCAGGGGTTCAGCTTGATGGCTTCCGTAAAAAGACCCAGGGCTTTCTGCAGATCGCCTGTAACAGACAAAGAGATAATAAATATAATTCAATTTGAAATGTTGTTACAGTTACCCAATGGATGTGTCCGTCTTTTCTAAATATAATATCAACCCACCTTCTCCTAAAGCATCAATGGCCTCAATCTTCTTCTCATTGGCCTGATCCATCATCTCCTCTGATACCTGAGGGAACGTATGCACACAATGTGGCTTAGTTATTCTCCATCTTTTATTAATAAAAGGTCAAAAAAAAGTAATGTTTGATAGAAAATATAGAAAAATCTCAACATTGTACCTCAGTGGTTTCAACATCTCCCATCTCCTGCGGCTCGTCGGTGTCCGGTTCAATCACTCCCTCCATTTCAATTTCTGAGAAAGCAAAGCGATAAACCCAAGACTTACAATGAGCTCTTGTGGGGAACACAATCTATGAACATGGGATATTCTTAGGAAATCAAATCGGCAGTCTGACGGCCTCACACACATTCAGGAATGCTGCCGTTTCAATAACTAATTAACTAAAGCCAGGTTTGAAAATGGGGACATGTCTGCGAACTGCACTCATTCATCTACTTTTCAATTATTGGTAGAGAAACTTGCTTTTTTTATTTGTATTAAAGGGGCCCTATTATGCTCATTTCCAGGCTCATATCTGTATTTGGGAGGGAACTTTGGGATTTTAGTCTAGTTTAGACCATTTCCATGCACAAAAACATATACGACACTACAGGCCTTTAAAATGTGCCTTTTCGATGTCTTGGTGTATTTTCCTTAGTGTTTGAGACGGCACTGCAGCAAAGTTATGTAATTTTCCTCCTTCAGACCTGAATCTATAAATATACCTACAAAAAGAAACTGTTTGACATTTTGGATAATAATCCATTTTGTTTTCTTGCTCAGAGCTAGAGTTTGAAAATACACAACCGAAAAAAATCTGCCCCTTCCTTCAGACTTCCTTACAGAGCCCCTCCTCCAACACACACGAACGCGCACATGACCAATGAGGGCACGAGATAAGTTTGTGCACAGATGGAAGGCTGACAGGCAGGTAGGCCATCCAGTTACTTTAGCCGGGCCGGCTCAGATGATTGGTCGTGCTTTTTACAGCGCCACGGCTTCCACAGATGACATTTTTTTATGGATTTATTGTCAAAGCATTTAATTTATTCATTGCTATCGGGATGTTAAGAGCATTCCATGGAATATAACAACAAGTGTTTCTGAAGTGAATTACCTACCCCACCTTTAATGTCTGTACTATAAACGTGAAGCTTCAGCTAGCATCCAAAAGTGACAGAAACCCAAGAGTCAAAACGATAATTCATTAGAGTGCCGTATCTACTCTTTCCCAGGTTTGGAGAGTAACAGATTACATGTAATGGTAACCGTATTCACTTACAGTTAAATAACACAAATCTGATTACTGTTAAACTTCTAGAAACTGGGGATTACTAGCAGGATTACAATGGTACTAAGTAACTAAAAAGAGTGTGTTTGTTGTAAAAGGATCAGATGTTATCTCTTCTCTGTAAACTGTACTGTAGGATAATACTTTAAGAGTGAATCTATACGCCTACTGCCTGAATCTGCTTTTCACTTTCTTTGGTTCATTTTTAATT